AATAAAATGTTGATTAACCAGTAGCCAGACAGGAAGTATAAATGGGACAAGCAGACAAGGAGAATTCTGGGAAGAGGAAGGGTTGGGTCAGGAGTCATCAGCTAGACACAGAGGAAGCAAGTTGACAAGGCAGAACTGAGAAAAGGTACCAAGTCATGTGGCTAAACATAAATAACAATTATGGGTTAATTTAAATGTAAGAGCTAGTCAGTAATAAGCCTGAGCTAATGGCCAAGCAGTTATAATTAATATAAGCTTCTGAATGATTATTTCATAAGCAGCTGAGGGACTGTGTGGCTGGGCAAGACACAGAAAAACTTCCAACTACATTTAGCGTACCAACATGGAGCTCTTGAATTTCCATAAGGCCTAAAAGAGTTTAAAAAGGGCTTCTAAACACACAATAATGCAGCCAAAACCAGCTTTCTACTTCATGTCTCATGTGGGCCAGACATGAGATATAGAGATATAGAGACACCAAGGTACAGAGATGCCATGGCATGCAGACTTGAACCACAGTATGGCAGGTTTGCAGTGTACGAGCTTGCGTGCAGCATGGCAGATTCCTCTCCAAGGCATCTCCAAGCCATGCAGCATGGTGCTTGGTGGATATAGCTCTTGCTAATAAAGATAAAAAAAATAAATAAGTAAAATAAAGAGGTTTCTGGGCTACACACTCCTTGATAGAGGAACAGACCCATGGTCTCCCAGAGTTGTGGACAGCATGGCTCCCAGAGCTGGTGGTAAATTACCTCTGCCATATTGGGAACCTGAGATGGGAGGAGTTAGTGGCCAAGGCTGCTGCTTCTGTCCTAGCCACATTGCAGTTTAAAGCAATATATTCACAATAAGACAGATTCAGATGGGATAAACCCTAAACAGTTTACAATGTGTGTAAAAATGTACATAGGCTTGGAAGAGAGAGAAAAGGGAATATATACAGTTATATAAAAAATAGTTTTAAAAAATAAAGTCTTTAAAGAGGCAGTAAAAATAATATAAAAAAATAAGCCACATAAAGATAGATATTACACAGAGAATCTGGATTGTGTTGTCTCTGGGATTTTTAACTGCAGAAAGACATTTGATTGTAAAGGCTACTCAGTTAAACCAATATGTATTTTAAAATTATCTTGAGTTCAAAATTCATGTCTAAGGATATGTAGCTTTGGAAAGAGGTTCTTCTTTTGTTTCCACAGAAGATGAGAACCTTTGGATTTGTTACAGGTTAAGATGGATCAGTTTAGACCAAGCCAGACCTCCTGAACCTTAACAAGTGGTACCTATCAACAAAGGTTATAGCTTGACTTCTCAGGACTTGACCATAATTCTTAATTTTCTCAGGATCCCCATAAGATTGCCAGCCCTCAATCAGCAGGATGTAGTATAAAAAGCTATGCCCCAATTCCCAAAAAATTGTTTATAAATGTTTATTTTTATTTCAAGAGGGTTGATTATAAATGCAATCTCTTTCTAAAGAAGAAAGGAGGATATGGATATGATGGGATGAAAAGGTAGATTATTGAATCTACTTTTAAAGAACAACTTGTTTTGCATTGATATGGATTTTGGTTTATTGATGAAAATTTAAAGTTAATTTTGTTATACTGTATGTATATTTCTACTCCTGTTTAAGGTATTATGTTTATGTAGCTCATTTAAAATTGTAATGTATAATTAAGAAATACCGATTAATAATTAATCATCTATGATAATCAAACTTACAGTCATGTTAGTTAAGTTTTCTATGTATACATAGATATATTTCAATTAGGTAGGTAATCTTCAAACACTTCAAAGACCTACAGAGTATGGCATTTAAAATGTTTTAAAACCTTACACTTTTTGGACAATGAGACACATCTGCTGCTGGCAGCACCAATTACTTCAAAGAGGATGATGGGCATTGAATAAACTCATTATGGAGTTTGCTTTCTTTGTGGCAAAAGTTAGCCACTATGAAAAAAAGTGCCTTTGTGTCAAGTGATTGTCAGTATGTTGTATAAATTGGACATGAAGGACCCATAGGAAGGTGACCACTGAACTTTGCAAGGCGAGATGGTCCTTTAGGTTCCTGCTTCACAGAAGAAACTGCCAGACATTCTACAGGACAGAGAAAAATGACTGAGAAACTCTAGACCTATGCGCTGAAGATGGATGCCCCAATGTTGCAGAAGAACTTGGGGTGATTATCTAGGCAGCCAGCTGTCTCTGTCATTTTAGATTTTTGGAAGTTGCTTACAATGTATTTTCTGTTTACTTAGGTAATATTATATCTTCTGAGGTCTTTGATGTTAAATATTAGATAGTTATAGTTTTCCTTAGTCATGATAAAAGATAAGTTAGATATGAAACCTTGGACTCACAAATAAAGGACAAATAGAACATTTCCTTTGAATTTGCCAAATATAAATGGACAGGGTATTGTAACTATGATTCTTGCTTGATAATTGTTTTGTTGTATGTAATTTTACTATGTTGAAGTTAAAGCCTTCCTTTTTGACTAGATAGAAAAGGGGAAGTGCTGTGGGAGGTCTTTCTGTATGCTTGAATATGTGTTGCTCTGATTGGTTGATAAATAAAGCTACATTGGCCTATGGCAGGGCAGGATGGAGCCAGGTGGGAAAATCCAAGAGAGACAGGAGAGAAGAAAGGAGAGTGGGGCAGATGCTGCTAGCCACCACCAGGAGAAGCAAGATGCAAAAGTACCAGTAGGCCACAAGCCACGTGGCAAGGTACAGATTTACAGAAATGGTTAATTTAAGATATAAGAGCTAGCTAGCAAGAAGCCTGCCATGGCCATAGTTTGAAAATAATATAAGCCTCTGTGTGTTTATTTGGGTCTGAGCGGCTGTGGGGCTGGGCAGGACACAGGAAAACTTCCAACTACACTTCCACATTCTTAACAATCCCCTTTTACTTTCATCCCACCCCATGCAGCAAAGTTACCAAATATGAGAGAAAATATATAATGTGTGTTTTTGTAAGACATGCCTGTCTTACTCAATATGATCTCATTCTTGCTTATGGCTAACTACAGCTCCATGATGTACATGTACTACTTATTCTTTATATATTCATTCAACAATGGCCATCTATTGTAGAATGTTATTTTAAGATGTATTACATTTGTTTGTGCTGTGGAACATTTGTTTAATGATGCAAAGTTGTGTTGCATTTTTTTATGCTGCATTTGTTTAACTCTGTGAAGCTGCGTTACTTTGCCTGTCTAAAACACCTGATGGTCTGATAAAGAGCTAAACAGCCAATAGCAAGGCAGGAGAAAGGAAAAGTGGGGCTGGTAGGTAGAGAGAAGATATAGAAGGAGAAATCTGGGAGGAGATGAAGAAAGAGCAAGGAAAGAGCAAGAGAATGAGAGGAGGATGCTAGGGGCCAGCCACCCAGCCACCCAGCCAGCCATGGAGTAAGAGTGAAGGTAAGATACACAAAAATAAGAAAAGGAAAAAGCCCAGAGGCAAAAGGTAGACAAGATAATTTAAGTTAAGGAAAGCTTGCTAGAAATAAGCCAAGCGAAGGCCAGGTATTTATAATTAAGAATAAGCCTCCGTGTGTGATTTATTTGGGAGCTGGTTGGTGGGCCCCCCAAAAGACCAAAGACAAAGAGTAAAAGAGCAAAAACAACCAAGAACAACCTACACAGACACTGAAGCATTAGCCAAGACCACCCCCACAGCGATTTGCTTACATTTGACATTTTTTGAACAATTTTAAATTGAAAATAATTTTCTTCATACAATACATTTTGATCATGGTTCCCTCTTCCCCACCCTATCTCCTCTCAAATCCTGTCCACCTCCCAACTCAACAAACTCCTTGCCTTCTTTTTCTCTATCTCCTTAGAAAAGAAACAGGCGATTAAAAAAAATTAAAAAAAAGAAAAAGCACAAGGACATACACAAATACACACACACACACACACACACACACACACACACACACACACACACATTCACATAAAAAAACCATAAAAATACAAAATCAGAAACCACAATACACACGTGAAAGAACAGTGAGATGGAAAAAATTCCCAGAGTTTCCAGGCCTGATCAGCAGAGGGTAGAGATGGCTTCCCTACCTCCCCTCCAAACAAGAGGCCATGAGCCACTAGGTGCCTCTGGCCTAAGACAGTCAGACATCATCATACCAAGCACTGCTCACAGTTTCTAGGCCTTGGGCATGTGAAGAAAACCAAGCTGTGTGACACCACTGCCTGCCTCTGTTTCTCTCCTAGACTGAGTCAATCTCATGTAATCCAAGGTGGCTTTGAATTCACAGAGATCCAGATGGCTCTCTGCCTCCCGAGGGCTAGAATTAAAGGTGTGTGCCACCACTGCCTGGCATCTGGCTCTGGGGTCATGAGAGTGAGAGAATTAGCCCTGTCCCTGACCAGCTGCAGCACAAAGGAGGGAGAGGGGCTCTGCACCCCATCTGGGCAGCACACCGCGGCTGACCCTGTTGTCGGGGACACAGGTGAGCCAGGTGTGGAACCTAAGACCCTGCATGACAGCATTAAGAAGTGGGGCCTTCAGAAGATGACTGAGTCACGAGAGTCCCATTCCCACAGATGAGGCCTTAACTAAATGAAGTGGGCTTTTTTCCCCTTCTGCTTTTTTACCATGTGAGGGGACAGCAGTAAGACCATTGTTTCAGAAATGGATACCTAGGACTCACTCAGACACCAAGTTACTGATCTTAGAGTTCCAGCATCCACAACAATGAGCAATCAATTTATGCTCTTTACACATTTTCCATGCTGCCATGTTTTTTAGTAGCAGCACAATGGACTAAGATAGACCTCATTGTATGCCTCAGTACACTGAACACATCCAAGGTCACAGAAGTCAGCTTGCAGAAGGTGGATACATCTGGTACTGTTGCACATGAAAATAAAAGTGATAATGACTCAGAGAATGAGTCCACAGGATATAAACAAGTCAACTTATTGATAAAAAGAGTCAAAATATTTCTGTTATTTCTAGGTACCTCTGTATAGTTACTCGTGACCTAAGAATAGAATGCTTTTGAAGAGACAAACACACTGTCTTAACCAAGAGATTGAAGCGAATATCACCAGCCATCGTGTGCCAGCTACTAGGACGAAATGAGAACAGCACACTGTCATTCGTGCAGTAATCCTCCCCACTGAGGAACTTGAACAAACTCACAAGGAAACATCCAGTAAATCTAATGTGAAGATCATCCTACAGTCAGTATAGAGTCTTCAAAAATGGCTAAAGCCCTGAGAATCAAGAACAGATCATTCAAGACAGGAAACATGAGAACTAAATTCAATTCTATACCAGACCTGCAAAGAACATTACCGAGACAATTGGCAAAAACTGGATATGGCTTAAACTTAGATGGAAACCAGGTATCCGTGGTTTATCAAAAAAGAAAAAGAAAAATCCTTGTCTGTTAGCAATCGCACTAAAATATTAGTGAGTGAAAGCAGTTTGTAGGCAATTTACCATCAGATCAGTCAACAAAATTTTTTGAATGGCCTTCATATTATGCATACAACTTTGCTGAAATTTTAAGATACTTTCCAAATAAGTAATAGTAATAACAACTTCTTTTGGCCTTGCTGAAAATGAGGCTATTGACTAAATCCTTGAGATGTAGCATTAGAAAAACCCAGTTTCTGGTTTCTTTAGTCCACATGGATAACAGGAGTTGAAACAAGTCGTTGTCATGTCCAAAGAAGGCCGCCCCAAGAAGCTCGTCCTTATACTGAGAATGCAAAGATGCACAGAACTGGCCTGGGATGGGTGAGCCAACAGCATCACAGCTAATAACTCTCACATCCAGCAGAGAAACTGGACATGATGACTCAGCCCTGTAAATCCCAACCCCGGGGAAGCAGAAACAACAGGCTGCTGCCAATTCAGAGCCGCCTGCATGACACAGTGACTGCCAAACTAGTTTGGGCTACAGAGTGAAACTGTCCAAATTGAAACAACAAAACCCAAACAGTAGATGTACAAAGAAGCCAGCCATGTAGGATGTCCAGCATCAACCCCAAAGGATACTAAAATGCAGATGTCAAGTGTAAGCTTGTCCGTAAATAAGAGAAGTCCCAGTTTCTGGATAAGTAGTTAACACTATTGGTAATCCCATTACTGATAGTAAAATTGTGAAAGATACTGTAACATTTTGGTTTTTAAGTAGCTCCTTCATTCAGGAGAATTAAAACTATTTTTACTTACAAGTCCATTTTTTGTTGTTGTTTTGATACAGGTTTTCTCTGTGTAGTCCTGGCTGTTCTGAAACTCACTCTGTAAACCAGGCCGGCCTCAAACTCAGAGATATTCTACCTGTCTCTGCCTCCTAAGTGCTGGGATTAAAGATGTGCCCCACCACTCCCTGGCTTAAATTTTCAACTCATACCAAATTCTTTTTTAATTACTTGTATTGAAAATGTATTAGTTATATCCATAGACTCATAATGTGAAAGGGGAAGTATTTAATATTTTTTTCTGTACAAACATAGAAGCAGATCAATAGAATAAGAAGAGACTGAGAGGCCTGAACTGTACACAGTGGCAGACTGCTTGCCCAGCATGCATGAGGTCCAGTGTTTGGATCTCTAGCATAGAACAATACTCAGTACAAATACAGTGCTACTTTGTCTGCACATCACTGTTTCTCTTCTTTCAGAGCCCTTTAAAAAACATTGATCTATTTTATTTTATGTGCCTGAGTGTTTTCCTGCATGTATATCTGTACACCATGTGTATGGCTGGTGCCTTAGAGGTCAGAAGAGGGAATCAGATTCCCTGGAACCCTTACAAGGGTTTGTGAGCCATCCGATGTGGGGCCCTCTGCAAGATCAGTTTCTGCTCTTAAACTCCAAGCCATCGCTCCAACCTTCAGCCTAGATTTAAAAAATGTGATGTTTAAAGGAAAAGAAGATCATAAAGCAATTGTGTTTTTATTCTCCCTGGCAGAAGTACCCATTTCTGAAAGTTGTTGAGAATTGCCGCTAAGGGATGTAAATCTCTCACTTCCTGTTTTCAGGGACCACTAGTCCCTTTTATAGGAGGATTAAAACTACCATTAGCATTATTTTTAAAAAAAGGTTACTTTATGGGGCTGGAGTTGCCTCAGTGGTGGGGTGACACCCAGTATGCATGCATAGGCTTAGCACTGGGGGAGAAAGACATTTCAACATCAGAACTCTAATTTCAGTACAAAGAATGCTCCTTTAAATCACATCCGTATAGCCTCATGAAAACTATATTAAATTGTCCAATGTTTTTATCTTGATCCAAAAGAGCAAATGCCATTATACTAAGGAATTTGACTTAGAGGCTTGTTCTTGCATTGCGTGCACTCCTGGAGTCCAACTGTTACACAAAACCTGAACAAACTTTTAGATAAATAGATTATTTTACAATTGTTTCTTAGATACACAGAAAAAAGTAAAAATAGTAGAGAACTACATGTGCCTGGAATGTAACTTCTTTTAGCATCTTATCCAGGATGGTACATTTATATCATCTAGGGAACCCTGCGTGGATACATTTTATTGCCTAAACGTATACTTCCTTTAGATTACTCTCTGTGGTAGTTTGAATGTAATTGGCCCCCATAAGCTTAGAGGGGGTGGCACAATTAGGAGGTGTGGCTTTGCTGGAGTAGGTATGGTCTTGTTGGAGGAAATGTGTCACTGTGGGTGTGAACTTTGAGTTCTCATATACACACAAGCCACCTCCAATGCCACAGTCCATTTCCTGTTGCCTTCTGATTAAGATGTAGCCAGCACCATGTCTGTCTACACGCTGTCATGCTCCCTACCATGATAATGGACTGAACCTCTGAAACTGTAAGCAAGCCACCCCAATTAAATGCTTTCTTTTATAAGAGTTGCTGTGGTCATGGTGTCTCTTCACAGTAATAAAAACCCTAACTAAGACTCCCTCTCTCTCCACATGTATGTATGTGGGTGGGTGGGTGTGCGCACATGCACATACACATGCACATAAGCACGCACATGCATGTGAAGGCAGAGGTCAAAATTAGGTATCTTTTTCTATTTATTTATTTATTTTAAATATTTATTAATTTATTTTACATCTCTCCCTCCCCTCCCCTTTTTTTTCCTTCCCTCCTCTCCCCCCTCAATCCACTCCTCCACCATTTCCATTTAGAAAGGGGCACACCTCCCATGGGTATCAGCAAAGCATGGCATATCAAGTTGCAGTAAGACTGAACACTTCTCCTTGTATTTAGACTGGGCAAGGCAACCCAGTATGATGAACAGGTTCCCAAGAGCCAGCCAAAGCATTAGGGACAGACCTGCTCCGATTGTTAGGAGTCCAACAATTAGACCAAGCTACACAACTGTCACAAATATGTAGAGGGCCTAGGTTGGTCCTATGCAGGCTCCTTGGTTGTTGAGTCAGACTCAGTGAGTTCCTATAAGCCAGGTTAGTTGATTCGGTGGGTTTTCTCGTGATGTCCTTGAACTACCTGGCTACTATGATCCTTCCTCCTTCTCTTCAGCAGCATTCCCCATCGTCAGCCTAATGCTTGGCTGTGGGTCTCTACATCTATTTCCACCAGTTACTCAATGAAGGCATGTAATAAGTCTTTCTCTGTACCACCAGCTCCCAAATAACAACACAGAGATGTCTTATTAATTATGAAAGGTCAGCCTTACCTTAGGCTTGTCCCACTAACTCTTACAACTTAAATTAACTCATTTATATTACTTTATGTTTTGCCTAGTGGCTTTTTACCTTTCTTACATTCTGTATGTACAACTCCCTCCATGTCTCATTGGCATCTCCCTGTGCCTCGACTATATCCTTCCACTTCCTCTCTCTGTGCCTGTCCTATACTTCCTGCCTAGCTATTGGCCATTCAGCTTTTATTACACCAATCACACCAATCACACCAATCACAGCAATACATCTTTACACAGTATACAAATATCCCACAACAAAGGCTATCTGATGACAACTGGGGTGGTCACCAATCTGCTCACAGGTATCTTTTTCTATTACTGTCCACCTTACTTTTTTCTATGTACAGCTTTTCACGTGGGTGCTGGGATCTGAACTCAGGTCCCCATGCTTGTCCAGCAAGGACTTTACCCACTGAGCCACCTCATTAGCCCCCAGATGCTCTTTATATCCTGCAGTTTTGTTCTAAATGCCATTCTACATTTAATCATCATGTTTCTTAGTCTCTGCTTAGCTCTATGTCCTACTCCTTCCCCCTTTTTATTGTCTTAAGTTCTGTGAAGATTAACCAGATGTTTTCTAAAATGTCCCTCACCTGGGGCTTTAATGGCTCATTTTTATCTAAGTGTACCTGTGTATCTTTGTACGTGGGTATGTGCACATGAACGAGAGGTGTCTGTGGATGCCAGAAAAGGGCAATGGATCCCAAGTTGGAGTTACAGGAAGTTGTGAGCTACTCAATGTGGATACTAGTATAAAAACTCAGGCCCTCTGCAAGGGTACAACATGCTCTTAACTGCTAACTCTTGAGCCACTAAGTGGGATTAAAAATAACCCAAACCCCTTTTCAAAATGAAGTTGGTGTTAGGGGTTTAGGAGGAAGACCACAGAGGTAAATTTCTGCTCTCATCACACCACACCAAGTGTACATGCTACAACCAAAGTGACATTTTTCAGGCACTGCCACCACAGTTACTTCTTTATTCTGTATATTTTGTAAGAAGTTAGGGTGCATGTCCCACCTTTTGGTCCCCCACCTTGAGGTTGGAACATCCGTACAAACAATTTGGAATTTGTTATAGTTGAAACTTAAATGTCCTTAAAGCTAAGGTGTTTGGGGCTTGGTCTCCAGGGTGGTGCTTTTGGGAGACAGTGCAGCACACATGTTGATAGGTTATATCCCATAACCTACAAAAGGGATATGGAATCTTGGTCCTTTCTCCTTCTCCTCTGCTTTCTGGTCATGAGTTGAGCAGTTTTGCTCTTCCAAGTATTTCAATCATGATACACACTGCCTCATGTTGCTTTAAGTTTATGACATAAAGAAGCTAAAAAGAGCCCATGTAAGCAACCAGCCAATTAAAAAGGTTAAAGTAATTATTTTTGTTCCTACAGTTACGGGATGATTTAGTGTCATCTCTTAAAAGGAAAGTCATTAACCACATCATATTCAGGAGCAAGCTATGTGTTTGAAAACTTTAAACCGATGGATTTAACAACTTAGAAAAAGGAAAGTCTCAGAACAGGTTGGAACATTGTGTGCATTTGCAACTGCACCGCTCCTACCTTACAGAAAGGGAAGTAGTCGCCCTCTGTGCTCTCAAAGACTGGGTGCAACTGTAATTTCTTCTGCAACTCTGAGGCAAAGCTTACTGTGGAAGCAATGGAGGCCAGAAGTTTTCCTTCTGGGAAAGTTCTTAAGTGATGAACTTATTTTCTTCAGTAGTTATTCAGATCTTTTATTTCTTCTTCTGTTGACTTGGAAGGCTACTTTTTTTTCAGTTAGTGTATTCATTTTATCTAAATTGTCAAATTTACTGAGTTAGGGCTATTCATAATATATTGGGTTTTTTTTCTTCAACATTTTATTGTAGATATTTCAAGCAATAGAAATTCTTGCAACAGGTTGAATTTTACAGTAAACAAGTGTTTTTTTCTACTGGATTATACCATCAGAATCTCATAACTAGTACATATTTATCAACCTATCACTCACAGTTCTCGACATCTATCCTAATTTTTGGTGTGTTTCAAAGTAGATAACACCTATGGTAAATTTCCCCTTTTATATTCTATGCATGCCACTAACTATACTAACTAGAGTGGAGTAAATATGAGCTCTTTCCCCATTATTGTTTAATGCTTTCCTTTTGAGTAATATTCTCAATGAAATACACAAACACGTGAAGGATCATTGAGTGTTGATGGATAGAATAAACCAGGATAACCTCTTGTCTTAGTTAGGGTTTCTATTGCTGTGAAGAGACACTATGACCATGACAACTCTTCTTTTTTTTAAACTCTTGAAACACAGATTTAATTTTTTTTGAAAACTTCTAATGTAAGATACATAAAGCAGTCATAATAAAAAGCCAGAATATTTAGGAAATTATTTTTCATATGTCCTGCGGGTGAGATGCTGGATGGGTGTGCTGTGTATGTGTCCCCACCCTAGTGACACAAGAAGAGTAAGATGTTGCTTTATACTCAAAACAGACACTAGCCAGATCAAAGGTAAACTACAGTTATATCACTTCTTAATTTATTTCTTAACATATCTGAAATGCAGACATACTTAAGAAATTTCAAATCTGGAACTACATTGTCTGAAAAAACTGGGCTTATTTAATTTTGGGCCTAGGTGTATATGAGACATTTATATAACTTAGACAAGATATTTTACTTCCCATCTTGTATGTGTCCTCTGTCATTGCAAATGGAACTTGTTATAGAATGGACTTTTCTTTCAGTTTTATAACAATGTATCATATTCTGCATATGGATATCAATATATAATCCAATGTCACTAAAGTGTTATGTCACAAGATACAATACCACTCATTTTCATTTGCTAATTTTATTCTTAATAATGTAATCAAAGGGGCTGGAGAGATGGCTCAGCAGTTAGGAGCACCAACTGCTCTTCCAGAGGACACAGTTTCAATTCCCAGCACCCACATGGCAGCTAACAACTGTCTGTAACTCCAAGATCTGACACCCTCACATAGACATACATGCAGGCAAAAGCACCAATGCAAATAAAATAAAAATAAATAAATTTAAAATAATGTAATCAGCACCTCTTTACATTTTGTCCATTTAGACAGTATTGTCGTGATCAGGTACTGCTTTCTTCAATCATCTCCTATGGTAAGGTGTCTATGTCGTACCACAATATTTTATGCTAGACTCACCAATGTTTCTAAATAATTTATCCTTTTTTCTTCAGTATTCGTAGGGATTGAACACAGGGTTTTGTGAGCATTCTAGGCAAGTGCTCTCTCCCTATTAGCTGCATCTCTGATGTAATTTTTTAAATTTTAATACATTTGTTTATTTATTTTACACCCTGGCTGCAGGTGCCCCTCCCTTCTCTCCTCCCCTCCCCCAAGCCCTTTCTGTTCCCACTTGTAGATGTATTTCTAAATGGTCTTATTAAATAAAAAACATGGAGCCAAATATAGGGGTGAAAGCCTTAAAGAGATCAGGGAAACAGGGAAAGCCACCAGCCAACCTTACCTCACCAACTCTGCAGCTTCCAAATGCGAGCTACTTCCTGCTTACCCATGCCTTTATTGCCTTGCTTTTCTGCCCTCTCATTGGCTCTTAGCCCAGCTACCTCACTTGTCACTGTCTGTCTGTACAGACCTCCAGGTCTCTATGGTTGGTATTAGGTTGGTTAAAGGCGTATGTTACCAAGCTTGGCTTTGTTCCCTAGTATGGCCTTGAACACATAGAAACCCTGCCATAAGTGATCGGATTAAGGGCGTGTGCTGCCTGACTTTGTTTACTTAAAAATGGCTGCCCTTTTCCCTCTGATCTCCAGGCAAGCTTTATTTATCAAAGCACAAATAAAATATCACCACACCCACCTCCCAATCTACTCCATGGCAAGTCTTATAAAGAAAACATTTAATTGGGGTGGCTTGCTTACAATTCCAGAGGTTCCGGCCATGATAATCATGGCAGGGAGCATGGCAGCATACAGTCAGACTTGGTTCTGGCTACATTTTGGCTTGCAGGCAACAGGAAGTTGACTGAGACACTTGGTGGTATCCTGACCATAGGAAACCTCAAAGCCTGCCCCTACGGTGACACATTTCCTCTAACAAGGCCATAACCACTCCAACAAAACCCTATCTCCTAAAGTGCCACCTCTTATGAGATTATGGGGTATAATCACATTCAAACTACCACAATAAGGAACATTCTTTTCCTTCCAGAAGGTCCCACATCTCCCCAGGCAATCCCCAACACCAACATCCTAAGAGGCAACCATTCTTTTAA